GTGGCTGAGCCCCCTGCCCTCACAACACACACACAGGCAGGGTGACAGACTCCCCCTGCCACAACACACACACACACACACAGATGGGGTGACAGCCCTCCCCAGCACACATACACCACATGCACACACACAGAGCGGCCTGCTGGCCCCCGTGCCTCGGGTGGCGCTCACTGGTGTGCTGTTGTCACCGCGTGCCGGTGACATGCCATGCAACTAGTAACCGGACCCAGTGAGCAACTACGGTTTTTTGGAAGCATCAAAATTGTCTGCTGTCTCCCTCCCCCCCGGCCAACCCCAAATAAACCGTCCAATGCCCCGGCCCTTGGACAGAGGTCAGCACGGTGCCCAGCGTCGTTTGGACAGTGCTAGAAAGCAGAGAGCCGCCTGCGTTGGTGCCCTCGCCGGAGAGGCATGAAGCGCTGACACATAAATATTTGCGGCGGCCCTAATCCTGCTGCCCTTGTGTCGGCAAATCTCCCGCGGATGACGGGGAGAGCTGGGCTGGCGCTCGGGCGGCTGGGTCTGTCTGCAGACCAGATGCCGGGCTTGCAGCTGCCCCTCCTCCAGCTTACGCTGGTCCCTGTAGTACACAGCGAGCAGGAAAAAGCCGAGTTTTTATGAAATGGTCGTCGGCTTTGCGTTTGGGATTCTGCCTGGGTAGAGAGGTGTTGTTGCGGTGAGTCTGTGAGCGGAGGGGCTGCGCTGTGTTGCGGAGGCTGGTGGATTCGTCGCTGCTTAGGCGACGCAGTCGGGATTTGGGGGCCTGAACCTTTTCCACGTGAGTGCAAAGCCCGTGTAGTTCCGCGGAGTCGGCTGTGGGCGTTTGTTCGGCGTACGGAGTTGGCGAGCGGTAGGCGTCACGCTTTCAGTTCACCCTTTCCCTTGAAATGGAGTTCGTTTTCACGTGTGAACGATGGAAGAGGAGAACCAAGCCTTTACCTACTTCGTTTTAAAGAGTGAAAGTGGGTGCTTGATTTTATCCAGCCCTGACTTCATGCGCTCGTGGAGGCAGCCTGTGATTAAACTTTCAGGGCAAAAGATGGACTCTTGTCTTGCTGGACAAGGCAACCTGTTTTCTGTAGGTGTTTTTATTGTTGTCAGTTGTGATATTTTGTAGCAGGATGTGCAACAGAAAGGATAAGCCCTCTTTGCAGTAGGGCGTGTTATATTTTCAAGATATGATTGTGTACAAGGCAATTTCTTGAAGTTTTCCAGTGGTCCTCGTGGGAGCACTTAAATTTAAAAAACGTTCCAGATGTTCCAGTGTTTCCAAACATTTCTCTTTTGAAGAAGAATGTACTGTTGTTAAGTTATATCTGAGATGGCTGTGGCTGAAAACAAGTAGAGAGAGATTTTGCTTTTCTTCTTGTCATGTATATATTTGAGAGCGCTTCATGAGAGTTAGTTATGGAGCCTGATTTTTGCGCATACAGGAGCCTCTTTTGTACAATATCTGACAACAGTGAAAGGGTGTATTATATTTGCAGTCACTTTCTCCACTGCTAGACAGTTACATAAAAGGAATGGGAATCTGTCCTAGCAGCCTGAAGGCCTAGATCTGCTAAGTCTTGGGCTGTGAGGGATCAAGACTTAATAGAACAACTAGTGAGAGAAAACTTTGAACATCTAAAGAAAAACATTTGTAAAATTGTAGAAGTTATCAGGGGAACTCAAGGAAAAATAGGGCTGAAAATGATTTTTAACTCGGATTGCTATTTGTTTGTTTTCTTCACATTTAAAAAATTGCATTCACATTTAAAAATTAGCATTTATTTTAAATATAACGTTAACGCACATTTAAAAATGAACAATGTCCTTTTGAAAGAACATTTAAAAATGAAAATGTACCTGAAAATGAAAATTAGGTGAAATGAACCCTGAAGCTTTTCTTTCTAGTATTCTTTAGATTTTGTTTAGATTATTAAACTAAAGGGACTTGTAAAAACCCAGGTGGTTTTTATTATTACATATTATTTTGTATTTATATACCATGTGTTTATTCGTGTTTGATTTTGCCAATATTTTGTCCACATATATTCCAGAAGAGGCTTTACATTTTGAAACATTGTTGCAGGTACAGACCCTTTTAAATACGCCATCCCAATCTCACAGGTCATAGTGCTTGGGAGCTGCTGCTGCACACAGTCTTAACTCTTATACCTTTCCCTTTGATTTAATATTTTTGTCCATCACAGTATTTTGTGGTTGCTGATGGTATAGTGGGCTAAGCAAAGCCACTTGTAAACACCAGTTATTCCCAGAGTGTGTCCAGCATGGCATTTCATTTACTGCTGGGAAGGAGGATGGGTGCACAAAAGGCATTGCTACTGCTGCAAGGCAACTTAGGTTTTGAAAACAGACAGGCTGGATCGGGGTATCCCTGGATAACTGGGCTCAGATGATGCCCAGCTTGCATCATCTGTGAGCCTGTCTGTTCCCAACAGGCTTGGTGACAGCAGTCTCAAATAGGCCTCTCTTCCAAACACTTTTTACATCTTTGGGTTTTGCCGTTCAGATGCTCCTTCTTCTCCCCAGAATGGTGACCTTCACTGGGAAACCCATGGGAATACTTGATATTTCCTGCTATGGAGGAAAGAAAATATGAATTCTTGCTCTTGACTCTGGAGTAGCATGATTCACTTAATAGCTGGTCAGTTTGGGTTGTCTCAGCTTGGTCTTTGCTTAGAGAACTTGCCTGCTATTTGATCTGCATGTGCGTCACTGGGAACTCCATATAGGCCAGGAGTTGGCCAAGGCAGCTACCAGTGCTGTCAGCTGGATAGAGGACAGCTGGAGCACTACGCACGGACAAATCTCAACCCTCACCTGCTAAACTATCAGTTGGAGGCACCCCTTACTTCTGGAATCGCAGCTTGGAGAGAGAGTGTGGAATGGTAGACACACAGGTAAAACTCCCGCTAAGGAGAGCCCCATTCACATGGAGGCAGTTCAGAATTATGATTTAGTGATTGTGGGTTTTTAACTATCCAGAAGTCTCAGGAGTGCCTGAGAGTCAAGCCAAGCTTGCTGAGGAGGTTAGCACAGCTTCCGTTTCTCAGAGACCAACTTTGGAAACCTGAAAAGCAGGTGAGTTTTGGAAGACTCCAAGCTCATACAGTGAGTGAGCAGAGCATGATGAATCACTAGCGCTCCTTTGACCTGGAAGCTCCCCACTGTGTCTACTTCTGTAGGCATCTTTATGGCACTCCTCAGCGTGGTATCCACGCACCAGGTCCCTGGCTTGAGGAACATGTAAGTGATACATAAATAGGTGGGTGAGTTACGGAGAAGAAGAACAGGTTTTGTATCAGGAAGGGTACCTAGAGACACAAGGAAAGTGGTTTGGAAGAATGAGAGTGCGAAGGTGAAAAAAAAGTTCTTTTGACTTTTGGTTGAAACTTCTCTCTTTAGCTCACCGTACAGGCACTGCGGTGGCAGGGGTACGTGTCCCCAGGGGAGTGAAATAGGAGGGCAGAGGCTGAGTAGAGGGAAGTCTCTGGGAGAGTTAGGGTTAGGTTAA